GTATGTACAAAATATCCTTTTTTTTAATTATTATTAATTTGCCATGTATGTACCTACATACATAAACAATCATTGTCAGGAACGTCTCCCTCCATTTTAAGTTACCGTATAATGAATTCCCAAAGAAAGGAATGGAAGTTCTATTCTACGAAGCAACGAGAAAACTAGAAAACTCCGGACAAGCGACACAACGTTGTCCGCGTTGTATCATAATTGTTCGCCAAGAGGAATCTCCCACCTAATTGCCATTTCCGATTAGCATAATTTCGTTGGAGAGTAATCCATTCCTCGTCTCTCCTCTCCTGCGCCATTTTGTTTCCCTCCTCTCTCTCTCTTCCACTCTCACTCTCTTTCCGTCTAATACATAACGTTCAATAACGTCAAACTCCTTAATTGGCTGAGCGCGCACCGATTCACCTCTTCGTGCGCCTGATTAAAGCAACCTCGCATCGCTGCACGCGCGTACGAAATTCTACAGAAACGAGGCCGTTTAACGAGGGAGACGACTACGATTCGAATTGCGCGCTCTGGCGTGCAGTTCCCGGTTCTGGGGAAATTCCCCCAAAGGAACGGACAATCAAGGGGCTGCGCGCCGCAGGCTGCGCGAAAGCGCGGTCCTCCGCACTTTTAATCGCATCACCGATCGAAACCGATTAAACCCACGTAGCGGCTTACGGCTTCCCGAAAAGAAGCTTCTTTTTTATTTCCTCACTTCCGGATGTGTTTTTAATCCCTGCTGAGAAAAGGTAAACTGAACAGTTTGGTCCTGTTAAAGCCACTTTCGTCAAAGGAATGCGCAATTATCGTTTGATTTACCATAAATTGTAAGCTGCAAGTATTTCTCAATAGTTGAGCGTGTTACTGGCTTTGGTTTAAATTTTGTGGTTACGGTAATAATAGTTATGGTAAAGTTTTTTTACCATTTTGGAATTGCTAGGGTACCTTTTAAATGTTGTCGAGTCTCGTTGCAAGGTGTTATTCACTCTACTTTTATTATAGTAACGGCAACAATATTACTAGCAGAACCGTTTAACATTGCATAACATTCCCAGCGGTTAATAAAAATTACCTCGGCATGTAAAATATACGATGATATATCCGTTACGTTAACAATAATGAAGTGAAATTGTATTATATAAGTTGTACAAGTTTTGTTATTCTTTTTATAAAAGTATAGTAAAAGTAATGGTTCATTACTGTAAAAACTATACGACTCCTTTTTCAACTATGAAAGCTAGTTAACGAGTAGTTAATTTAACAAGATTTTTCTATTGGGGCAAATAGAAATATTTATTTGCAACTAGACACTTGCTAGGTATATATATATGTATAATCGGGTCCATCCATATTTGACGGTGTGGTAATTTCGGCAGGAAAATGAAATTATGAACGTAACGTTGCTTGGCATCGCCGAGGGTTTCGAAAGCAATGGAAGGAGTATTTCTACGGTGAAGGTAGAATTACGTTATTAAATATTAAAATTCCTTTTATGTAGTCTGATCGGCGATGAAGGAACTAAATGACTTACCGTGAGAAAGAGCGGTATCAGAGTGTAGGATAATCTCGTTAACGAGGGAGAAAGAGAGAGATAGACCATTCGGGGTGCCACAGGACAGAAGAAAACAAGTGAAATAAAAATTGTCCCGCATTTTCCTATGTACACTCCTGGTTACGTCTGAATTCATCGCTGTCACCGTGAATTGCGTAATAAATCGTCCCTCGTATTAGAGCGCGACCTAATGGGAATAAATGCGTGAAAAGGGAAAAAAAATTCCGGACCCGAAGTGCGTACATCATCCTTTTTTTTTTCCCTACCAAAAACATATGCGTAATGCCCGCGTGCCCGGGGAGCATTTTTTTTTCCTCCGTTCTGTTTTCCCGCTCCTCGTTTTTTCGTTTTTCCTCCCGCTCGGAAAACAGGGAGAGAGAGAGAGAGAGATAGGGATACATTTTAATACGGAGCAACGCGTGCCGTAACGTATAAACAACCGTACATTTTGATTTGGCACGACTGGGGTAATTGCAGCGAAAACTCCCGGCCGCGCAATTAATCGGGCAAAGTACTTAGGATAATTGTCCATTTTTGGGAAGCGGGAGTGCGGCCCGATCGCGCTCGATTTTCCAGAGATCGATCGGAAAGGTCGATGCGAGAAACCGCGCGCCATCCACGGCGGCCGGTTTCCGCGATTCGGCTCGAACGAGAAAACGCATCTGCCCTCTCTCTCTCTCCCTCCCTCCTGCTCCCGCTTCGGGGAAAAAGAGAATAGTTATAATTACTGGAATTGAAGCGGCCGCTATTAGTCGGCCCGCCGGAGTGCAGCTGCAACTGCGGCTCGAACTGCCGATGAGTTTTCGACCGACGTCCGGCGCGATTTCCCGTCAGGCACGCGGATCGTCTCCACGCTAAAAAGCCCCACCAGGACCAGATGCTGCTTCTGGATAAATGAAAATGAAATCCATATGGCTCCCGCTAACGATATTTCCAAGCTTTTCCATTAATCGCGACGACTCGCGGGAACGAGCACGCGCCGGTACATAATTCACTCGGGACCCCCGCGTTACGGAAATGCAGGTAAATAAAAAAAAAATACCATTGGTCCGGGGCCAAGCAAAAAACGAAACGTATGTTGTAACGTCATAGAGACGTTATGTCATCGTCTGTCGCACAGAGACGTTGCGAAACCCGATGTGGAATGATCCCACGAGAGCATAACGCGGTTCGAGGGGTGTTATGGGGAATTACGAGTATCGCCATTAAGGGGATGTGAAAGTGGCATCCGAAAAGTCAATCGTTCGTGAAACTTTTCTCCGAACTTAATGTACCGAATCGTTTCAAACTTGTGAAGATATCTATAAACAAACTTTGTGAAGAATTGTGAAGATATCTATAAACAAATTTAAAAAGAATTGAAATTTAATGGTTGCCAAGACCTTCCTTATGGCCTTAATAATGACATCGTCAAGTTTAAAACGATTCGGTACTCTCAGTTTGGGGAATTAAGGTAACCCTTAAGGGTAACGTGTCAATTAAAGACAAATCGGTAGGATAGGTAACCCACAGTTGAAATGAATGATCTCGATTGATATTCTCTGTTTTTCTGATTATTTAAATATTCAAAATTGAGGTTTCCTAGGTTTAACCGAGTCTCGATCCGACTTGTACCCGAACTCCGCAGAAAAGGACATTAATGCACATTCGAAGTTCAAAGGAGACCGATTTCCTTCCCATTTTCGTATCTTACGTTCTCGCGTTATACTCGAAAACCTCCAACGCGTTAAGGAGGCTTATCCGAGGTAAACATTTTCGCCTGGGGAATCCTGTCAGCCTATCGGCTTAAAATCCGCGAAACTTTTCGCCGGGGGTAAAAGCGTCGATAAAGGGGTCTATTGGCCGAATTCCCGAGTTTCTTGCGAGGGAATTTCTACCGTGCTTTTAAACCGCGTATCGCCGTAGGAAATCCCGGGGCAGTATGAAAGGAACAAAAGCCGGCCGGCTGCGTAGGAAAAAATGAAATGCAAATAAAAGTCGGCGCGCGACTCGATAGGACGAGTTCTTCCCGAATTTAACGGGGCTTTGTATGTACGCTGCGTTCTCTGCCTTGGCTACGATATTACATCCTCCTGTCGTTTTTCGTTTGCTTCAGGTCCTACCTCTCGCCGGTATCAAATGGAGGACCAAACGGAGCAACCATGAACTGCGCTGGCTCGCAGGGTAAGTCTCGAAAAGAAAAAAAGAAAAAAACCTCCACGTAGAAACTCAACTCGCCGAGGTCAGATTTCTCGGCGACCTCGCGACTCGCGAAACGTATCCGCGGTTACTGCCGCGGTTTTTCGTGCATCGCAATTGCTAAGTTAAAGACATGCGAGTGGACGTAGGTACTTCGGACGATTATCCTCCTGGACGAGAGAAAAGGAATTAGGACGATTACGGAATTTCGAGTCCACTTTTTAGCGATATACAGTAGACTCCTGGATAATGCGAGGTGTTGCAACAGGAATTCCTGTAACGAAGATTTCGCGACTACGGTTTTCGTATAATGCGATTATTCGTATAATGCGCTAAATAACAAAACACATTATGCGCGTTATAGGAGAAAAATTCCCGTACAGCAGGATTTCCTATAATGCAAATTCCTATAACGCGCCAAAATTATTGCGACGATTGTTTTCGTATAACGTGATTCTTCGTATAATGCGCTAAATAACAAAACACATTATGCGCGTTATATGAGAAAAATTCTCATGCGAGATAATTTCCTATAACGCGAATTCATATTTCGGTATAACGCGCCAAAGATATTTCAACTATTGTTTTCATGTAACGCAGTGCTTCGTACTACGCGCCAAATGAAAAAACACATTATGCGCGTTATAAGAGAAATTCCCAAACAGGACGATTTCCTATAACGCGAATTTATATAGCGCATAACGTATTAACCGCGTTTGTACAGGAATCTACTGTAACTGTCTCGAAATTGGAACTCGAGAATTGGGTTAACATATTTAGGGAAACATATTTCGTTACAGTGTTAGTAATTCCCTGTAGAACGATCACGTCCTCCGATACGTGACGTCACTATATTTTGTTGAAGCGATAACGAAATTATTCTTTCTTATTTTCAACTCGAACGATCCCATTGTTTTGAGTCTACAAAAAGTAGTCAGTTATTAGTCCTGTCATCTCCCCCGAGGAATTTCATCCCCGTAGTTAACTCCACGGGAATTCCAACGTGGCCTGAAATATCGCGAATAGCCACTCCCTGCTGAAACGTTTCGATGATTCTCCAGCCTCCCGGAAGTGGGTGGAATGCAGTGTTTTTGGATTTGAAAAATCGCAGAGGGCCCTTCGGCGCGACACGTGCTCTCGCGCAGCAGCCCGATGGTAAAAATGCCAGGATATTCCTAAATATCGTCCTGTCATCGATCCAGGGACTCGAAAGAGGCCAAAATACCAATTTAACGCTCGCTTTTCTGGTGCACGTTCAATCGGTGGCGAAGGGTCGGAGGTACAAGTGATTCTTGCAAATCAGGATGAGAATAGACGCATGACCTGATGAATGACAATAGTCATACATTGGGTCAACAATGTGTACCATTTTTTTAATTTTTTAAGACATTAACCGACGAACCAATTAGAAACAGGACAGACTCGATGAATAAATTTCTGCGCGAACCTGAAATTGCGATTTCTAATTGAAGAAGATTGAGAGGGTTAGCAACCTCTTGAGAATTGTAATAACTTTCGGAAAGTATTTATGTTTCACGGGCATTTATTCGTAAGCTTATTAATTTATCCTCCCACTACTAACTCGATCGAGGGGCTATTCACTTGGAAATCAGGGATAATGATTTCCTTCTTTGAGAGCCTTGCCTTTGATTTCATATGATAAAAAATAATGCGAATCGGTAACAAGTGACGTTCGGCCTTAAAATGGTGACAGTGTTCAGTGATTTCCAACGATTTCTAGGGATTTCTTTTTCCGATTTCCAGCTGATTTTCAAGTGATCTCAAGCGTTAAAATCCACGATTGCCTGAGTGAATACCCCTCGAAGTCGATCTATCAATGTTCGTAGTTATGAATATTTTCAATATCGCAAGAAATGTCAATTTTTGCCCTAAACAAGCGTCATTGACCGAAACGAGCTTGCCATCTCCTGTCACTTCCCAGATAGAAATTCATGATCATCATATTATGAAGAAAATCGATTTACAAACAATTTGCAGACCATTTGCTGCATGAAATGTGTGCAACATATGTACACACATGACCCAATAAATGTGAAGAAAAATTTCCAATAAATTTGTCACGCTTCAATGTTTTACCGGTAATACGTGAGATAAACTTAGCTGTTGACACATTGACACATTGCGCGTACTTAACTTTGTTCCATGTTAAAGTATTTTTGGTTGGTCAACGTGTACTGCAATGAGTACCAAACAATGACTCACGAGCTCACGACCCACTTCATGATCTTTTATGTGGCAAATTTCATGCAAATTTTGAATCACTTTGTCTATCTGAATTCTGATCGGCTCTTTCATCCGGAACCCGATCGGAGTTAGGACCGTTTCCCAAAATTTCTCCACGAGGGTATCGGAATTGCGCGAGCGAGTAGTCGAAACGGCGAAACGAAGGAGAGAGAGAAAAAACCGTAACGAAGCTTCGAATGTGCGATGCAGGAGTGATGGTGAAGCAGGAGGCCCGGGACGACGGGTACGAGACGAGCCCGGACCTGGAGATGAGGAGCAACGGCGGTGACAGCAGTCAGCAATACCACACCCCGCTGACACCGCACACACCCCACACGCCGCACACACCCTTGACACCCATTCCGACGACTCCGCACCAGCCTCAGCAGTCCGGATCGACGGCTGCCACCCTCGGACAGGTCAGTAAGAGAACCCGGACCTCCCCGGACCACCCCGAACCTCTATCGGACCTCCCTCGGACTTCCTATCGGACCTCCATCCAAACCTCCATCCAAACCTCCGGACCGCCACCCGGGGGACTCCACCTAGCCGGCCGGTCACACGGAGGCCGTCGACGCTCCACCGAGTCACGAGAAACGCGTGTCACTGTGGAGCATAGACGCCCCTTTCATCGTTTCCTCCCCTCTTTGCGTAAAAAGTCGAGGGAAGGCGCTCCGATAAGTCGCATGACCGCTTTTCCACGTTGAACGTCAAGACGGAGAGTAACCGCACGAGTTTTGCTCGCCACGGGTGAGTACCCATGTAGAAAATCTGCGAGGGCGCCGGCTAGGATTTTTAGCCAGGACGACTACGTATCAACGGGTCCTGTTAAAAATATTCCAAAAATTCATGCACTCTTGGTACACAAGGTTATGGTAAAATTGGAATTTTCACGTACCAACAGTGAATTACTGTACATTTATGATAAACCTCGAGATAAATTTGTGATGTTGCTATGACGTAACAATTAAAAGCATTTTAGGGAATTTATATCGGTAGGAGATGATTCGGCTACGTAGGAGTTCCTTCATTTTCCGCAAGGAGCGCTCGCATCGGTAGATCAGGGAAAATCTGAGATCCTGGGATCCGATTCTGGGGTCACTTTCTGGGGGATCGATCTTTGACGTTATGTCCCCTTATGCTACTTCATGATCTCGACGTTTAGCCCAGAAAAAGTGAAAGATGAAAGCACTCGGATTTCTTGGAAATTGTGAAAATCCTTCTGCGTTTCTGGATGAAACTGAAGGAAGTGCACAGTTTTAGTCGGTGCTCATTATTTATGGCGTATTGTCCCATCTGAATGCGGCACGGTAGTTATTACCGAAAAGTTGTCATAATTTATAGCGTAAGCTGACTTCTGAATAAAGTATGCTCAAGCGAAACGTGACTCTTGTCTTGCACGTGGTGGGCTACGTGGTCGGAGGTTCCGATTTTAAAATGGAGCAAAAAGCGGAATTGAAAAGACCCGTACTTAAGGAAACGAAAAAGACTCGCAGAAATTCCTCGCATGTAGAAGTCAGGAGTTAAGATCCAGCTATAGAAAGACCGGTACCCGAAGAGCTATTCATTCATACTTAAGGTGAAACGAAACCCTCCTCAAATCAGTCGATTCGAATAAGACACTTTTTTTAAGGGCCTATACCCCTGAGAACGACGAAGAAATTACACATTTTTTAGGCAAAAGTACGAGTTAAATTTAACATTTTACCACGATCGAGGTACGGGCGACAGTCATGTGTTTGCTGAATATAGCGCTAAAATTTGAACTCGATCGGTTCAGCCGTTTTTTCAGAAATCACCTACGCCAGGTGCAACCCATTTTTTTTTACTACTCTACGGTTGTAATAATAAATAAATGAATATGTATTTTTTACTGAAAAGAAAAATGTTCCTGTATTCTCCTACATTAAACCTTTCAAGGGAAAAAAAAAGTTTGTACCATTATATGCTGTACCTTTTGAGAAAAAAAAAATGGTCAAAAATGTGTAATTTTTTCGACGTTCACAGTGGTATACTCCCTTAAGGGTACTGGACCAATCTGTCCGAAATTTTGACACATGACCTAGGGGCATTTAAGAATTATCCTGACACTTTCAAAATTTAGTTTATCGAAACAGAAAATGATTGACCTAGTCTCAGCCAAAACAAAAATGGCGTCGAGCTCTTATATTACGTGTTTCACTTCACCTTAAGGGCACGAGCGTTTGAAATAACAATTTCTTCATTTCTTCGACTTTGGATCGCGCGTTTCGAGTGTTTCCGGGCGGCGGATTTGACGATTTGACTTCCTGGTGTTTTTCCGGGCCGGCTGAAATCGAATAATTTCGAGGTCGCTTAATTTTGAAGTCACGAACGCGTTTCCTTTTGTTTGCCCCGACTTTAATAATTACTATGGGCTTCCCTCTCGCGGGGTCACTATGTTCCCAGGGTACTTCGCACTATGTGCCGCCCCCGGGGCATGGATGTTGAGAAAGAAAAGAGCATGTATTCTATGAGCGAGGAGAGTTCGTTAGCTTTGTAAACGCCGAGACGAAGGGAAGAAAAAGTAATCAGCAACCCTTTCTTCCGGTAGCGTTCGCGAAATGCTGCTTCCGAACAAATAACTCGGCCGAGTTTCTTCGAAATTCTCCGCTCTGAGCTCGCACGCGTGTTATGGGACTGGAGGAGCAAAATGGCGGGTCTCGGGAAAAAAAAATTCATCGGTACGGGTTTTTCTTCAAAATCCAGAATTTCGAGACGGCCCACGTACGTCAAGACGAAAAAAGGATCCCGACCGAACATGCCCGAGTGGTTAAAAGAGCTCCCTTATATTTCTGCTCGAAAATTCTCGACTTTGAGATTTTCCGCAAACGTACCGGGCCAGAAAACATGGCGGAATTTCGAAAAGTGTTACATTCACCGAGAGCACGTGCGGATCGTCGAGTCTGCCGCGTGGCTGATCGCGAGAACGATCGCGAATAATTACATAGCTACGTTGAAATGCGTGTAATCGTAATTACACGTCGCCGAGGACAATTACGCTTGGCAAAACAGAGAAATCGACGGAAACGACGGGATTGCTCGATAGCCACGGGCTAGGCTCTTCCATTTATCGCACACGTCGGGAAACTCTTCTTATTTGCATTAGGAGAAACAAAATCTGATATCGGAATAAAAATGTATAAAATAGAATTTAAATGATTAAAATTGGCGCGGAGCCACCATACGTGTTGGACGTGAAACTTTTTTTTTTTTCTTTATCTTTATTTCACTTTAAATGTCTACGATTAAATGAAAGAATAACGCACCGACGCTAACGGAAGCATTTACACTAATTATATAAATATTAACACATGAAGATGAATATAAACTGTAATGAATTGTAAATAAAATTCCGATGAGATACCAATTATAATGAGTGTTGATTTTACTGTCAACTTTGTCAAGCCCGAAGCACACCAATTGGTCGACTTCTTAGCCAACAAATCGAAATTAAATGGCAGTAATGAAAACCTATTCGCAAATTGTGTTAATGATAAAATACAAAGGTATTTGAAAAATGCTGGGATTTCATTTCTTATGATTCGAGGTTTGACATTCGACAATATTATAATATTTACCGACTGATAGGTTGAGGTATAAGTTCCTACCGTTTTATTTACGCTACGTTACGTTAAAAAAAAAAACGGCGAGAACTTATTCCTTAACCTAATACTTTGGAAGGGAAATATGCAGTTGAAGTCGTGCAGCAACTCTGATAAAGTTCCGGGGTGCCACGGGACGTGATCTCTTTCCACAGGTCTTTTGTTTTTCCCCGGACCTTTTTTCTTTTTTACTCTTCTCCGTGTCCTTCATTTGTGGCTTTCTTCCAGAAAACCGAAACCCCGTTAGCGAACCAGACCGTACTTTTGCTCGTGGAAAAGGAGACTCTTGACAAGTAGAACATGCTCGCCGGGCCTCTTCGTTAACGAGAGACGCGTCGCGAATCTATCGGGATTCGGGTACGTAGAATAAATCCGGGAATAAAACGCCGAACTTCCGCGATTTCGAAACCAGCCGATCAATTTCGGAGGGGGATGCTTGAGAGACTTGTCTTCGTTAACGGTGACTCACTGCCTTGGAAATTAATGAACGCGTCGACGCGAACATTTACGATTTCGACGACATCGTCACGTGGTCGAGGTCTTCCTCTTTTGTTCCCCCTTTCCTTATTGTACAGGACATCGTAACGCCGGTCAAACTGCACCATTATCATATTTAAGAAGATACGTCTTAACGTTATTTCTTAAAATAGCCTTCTATCAGAATAATTATGAATCTAGACTTGCAGGATTTATTTATATCTAACTATTTCGCGGTAGCGTCGGTGAATGCTAGTCAGAGGCATATTATATTAGTTCGTTAATGTTTTATTAATTTTATGGCTTCGTCTCAAATCGATATCAACCATACGTTCAAGCGTAATTAGTAGTAATTGTTAAAAATGTCATTCTATTTGCATACAGATGCAGGCACTTTTGCATAACCTCAAACGGACGTTATGAAAATGATAAAACTGAATATAACTCCCGGGCGGCAATATTGTAACGATTAAGTTAACTGTTATTATTAAGTAAAAACTTCGGTTATCTAAATACTTACCCTTCGATAAAAATGGCTCTGTTTAGAAACGGCATCAAAAAGAAAGATGGTATATGGTCATTCAAAGATGTGAGAAAAGCCATTAAAGTGTAAAAAAAATTCGATTTCGTATTTCGTTTAAGTATTATGACAATATTTTTTTATTTAACAGTCTATGTATGAGCGATATCGAACATCTTTCATTCTGCGACATAATTATAGAAAATGGGGAATATTCATAATGAACAAAAAAAAAACAATCTTTTCAAAAGTTATTTCTATAGTACCGTTTCGGATATTTTTCGAACATCTTTCATTCTGCGAAATAATTATAGAAAATGGGGAATATTCATAATGAACAAAAAAAACAATCTTTTCAAAAGTTATTTCTATAGTACCGTTTCGGATATTATCACAGAGCAGTTATCGATCTTCAGTGCGCATCCAAAATAGGTGAAACTCATTGTAGAAAATGGGGAATATTCATAATGAACAAGAAAACAATTTTTTCAAAAGTTATTTCCATAGTACCGTTTCGGATATTATCACAGAGCAGTTATCGATCTTCAGTGCGCATCCATAATAGGTGAAACTCATTCTGAAACGGTTTCAGACCGCCTTAAGATTACGAGAAAGTGAAGCGTTACGCCGAAGATCGAGGTATCGATAAATCTTCGACCAAGGCCCTTTCTCTCATTCATAGCGCATGCTCTTTTTCAGTACCTCATTTAATGACTTTAAGATTTATCATGGTTTAGGCCGGGCAGAATCGGCAAATGTCACCGTTCATCTTTGTTCCAAAGCGGTCATTTTCTTGGCG